TCCAGAATTGTTGAATGGTGGATTTACAATTTAAAACTTACAGGCTATCTCTGTAACTGTTATTTATTGTTACCTTCCAGAAGGAAAATACTATCAACGGCACTTGATTCTTTTTGTTATTATTTATTTATTTATTTTATTTATTTGCTGCACATCTCGCTGCAAGGTGACTCTGGGCAGCTTGAAATATTTAAATGAAATGAGAGAGAGAGAGAGAGAGAGAGAGAGAGAGAGAGAGAGAGAGAGATGTATAAAATCACATTATAATTGCAATAAAATACAAGTTATAACTAAATGGGGAGGAAAGGAAAAGAATATACAGGGGGGAGGAACTGCTATTAGTCAATCATCCACGTTCAGTATGATATTTCCTTCATTGGGACCCCAAGCCAACTGGCAGTACCAGTACTTCAGGCTCTTACAGAATGTCAGGAGGGTGGTAGCCAATCTCACCTGAGAGTGGCAAAATGTTCCAAAGGCCTGAGGCCATTTCACAGGAAGATGTGGCTCTAGTCTAGGTTCACAAATATTGAGGGCAATGCTTCCAACAAAGCATTTTTAAACAGCATCTTCTTTGACCTCTAAGGTGATCTATAAAAACACCCATAGCCTCTCTTTCAATTCCTCTCTCAGTTATTAGCCTCACTTTGCATTGAGAGACAAATAAAGTTCCCTTACAGAAGTCTGATTTCAGACTGGTATGACTGCTAATGCAGGGATAGTAAACAGTCAGTAGACAGTCAGATCGCCAACCATTAGCAGATTTAATGTGATCCTGCTGAATAAGTTTCCAATCAAGAAGCATTTCTGCTGTCAAAGAGATCCATAACAATTTATGACTTTTGATGGACATTTACGTACACATTCACAAAGTGACCTTTGCTGAATAGAATCAACATTCTCATCATAAGGGAATGGGTTTCTTTTTAATGTCAATGTCCCTAACTAATAAATGGGTTTGAGGTTCATTGCCTTGTTAAGATGTAGCAGAAAGCATTAGCAAATGGCACATATGGGAAAGTAATATGCTGGCAGCCAAGCAGGGATCCTGAGATGGTATTCCATCCTTTTATTATGCCTTTCACGGGAAGACCAAAGAGTCACAGATCTCATAGCTGCACAAATTGTATTGTTTGTGAAGAGCTTCATTAGAAACAAAATATGCACAACGAGAACAAGTACAAAATGTCCCCATCAATCAATTACACCAAAATATTATTTTCAACATATAAATGATCATAGAAATATGAATTATAAGGCCTAAGAATTTTTTTTTTTTTAATTTTCACAAAAATGGGGAAAACTCAATCCCAATCCTTGTCCTCAACCTGATTTCCTGGATAAAAGGCCTGGCTAGGAGTCCTTGTGTTGAATAGTGCTATAACAAAATCACTGTAAAACCATTTCACTTGCACAAGTTTGGGAAACGTAGTTGTTAGGCTATATGTGCACTTGATGGTGCACACTTTGAAGTAAGAGGTGGTCTTAGATAATAAATTGGTCATCTCTTATTAGCAACTGGCTATCTGTTTAGGATGATTCTCTATATTTGGCTGTTTTTTTCCAATGGGCATCAGCTTTTAAGTTTTATTCTTGAGAATATGGATATGGATATCCTGGATATGGGGGCGGGGGAGACGCCTTTAATTTTTTTCAGGGTTTTAACTATCTCTGTACAGAGGGGTGAGAGACACAGACACATTTTCTCAGTCATCAGCACTAAATCATAGCAGCTTCATTCTGAAACTTTCCTGTGTTGTTATTGTTTTTTTTTTAATTTCCAGGTTCATGCAGAGTGGGTGGAAGGTTCCCATCTCTTAATTATTACAGCACTTGTTCCACATTCTGCACTTGTTGAGTGTCCTTGGAGCTGATGATTAGGAAGCAAAGCAAATAGTCTAGCAATAGCTCTGAAATGAAGCATTCTGTCCAGAAAGAAGTGTCTTCTCATGGAGGAATAGATTGGGAAGTAATACACGTTGGAAAGCAGAAGGCAATGGGAGGGGTGGCTTAAAAACAAAAACTCTGTCAGACTAAGATAGACTTTGAACACTTTAATTGTGTGACTGCTCCCATTTCTTATTTCTCTCCTTCCCTATTTCTTTTAATGAATAAGATGATTACTTCTTTTATTTACCTTCAGGATTCTGATTGCCATTGCTGCTTTATCCATGAATATTCGGATTAAATGTATAGTCAGAATGGCATTGATCGTTTTATTTATTTTTAAAAAAAATTCATTGACTATGTTAAGCCAGCACTACTTCTTTTACAGATTAGTGAGAGGAAAAATATAGGTGGTCCTCAACATACCACCACAGTTCAGCCCAAAATTTCTGTTGCTAAGTGAGACATTTGTTAAGTGAATTTTGCCCCATTTTATGACCTTTCTTGCCACATTGTTAAGTGATTCACTGAAGTTATTTAGTAACAGGGTTAAATGAATCTGGCTTCCCAATTGAGTTTGCTTGTCAGAAGGTCACAAAAGGTGATCACATGACCTCAGGAAACTGCAACGGTCACAAATATATCACTTTCACTTAGATATGAGCCAGCAGTGTGCTGCAGCTGCCAAAAAAGCCAACACAGTATTAGGCTGCATTAACAGAGGGATAGAATCAAGATCACGTGAAGTATTAATATCACTTTACAATGCCTTGGTAAGGTCACACTTGGAATACTGCATCCAGTTTTGGTCGCCACAGTGTAAAAAAGATGTTGAGACTCTAGAAAGAGTACAGAGAAGAGCAACAAAGATGATTAGAGGTCTGGAGGCTAAAACATATAAGGAACGGTTGCTGGAATTGGGTATGTCTAGTTTAATGAAGAGAAGGATGAGAGGGGACATGATAGCAGTGTTCTAATATCTCAGGGGCTCCCACAAAGAAGAGGGAGTCAAGCTATTCTCCAAAGCGCCGGAAGGCAGGACAAGAAGCAACAGATGGAAACTAATCAAGGAGAGAAGCAATCTAGAACTAAGGAGAAACTTCCTGACAGTTAGAACAATTAACCAGTGGAACAACCTGCCTCCAGAAGCGGTGAATGCTCCAACACTGGAAGTTTTTAAGAAGAGACTGGACAGCCATTTGTCTGAAATGGTATAGGGTTTCCTGCTTGATCAGGGGGTTGGACTAGATGACCTCCAAGGTCCCTTCCAACTTTATTATTATTATTATTATTATTATTATTATTATTATTATTATTATTATTATTATTATTATTATTATTATTATTATTATTATTATTATTATTCCATTGCCAAGCATCTGAATTTTGATCACGTGAGGATGGGGATGCTGCAGTGGTTGTAAGTGTAAAAAATGGTTATAACTCACTTCTTTCAGTGCCGTGGTAACTTCGAATGATCACTAAATGAACTGTTGTAAGTTGAGGACTACTTGTAGGCATTGTGGTGAAATGTTAACCGTATGTGAGCTGCAGAAATCCAGATAGCTACTACAACAGGAACAACTTTTGATCATATAGATTACTACCCAGAAAATAATGCAATGAGCATAAAGATTAGGTGGGAAATTTTACTTTTAATCTATGAATGACACTTGAGCAAATGGACTGTTTTATCCTTCCTTATTTTGATATGAACATGATTATTTCTGAATCATCACAGAAAGCTATCTTTTGCTGTTGGTAGTGCTTTATAACATATACTCTGAAAATTAAGCATATGTAAATTTAATTGATAATGATCAATAACCATTACCTCGATAAGGAAATCTGCATTTGAGAAAGTGAAAGACAGGGCTTCTTTCGTGTTTTCTACCATATCCTTTAGAAAATATAAATTTATGCTCAGGTCTGTTTATATTGCAAGGAGTTTATTTTTGTAAATGTGTATAGTTATCTAAAATAACAAAAATGGTCATGCATTGTAGTACTTTTTTAATTTAAATTACCCCTATTCACTATTAATTTATGCAGTGACATACAGTAGTTGCTCAAAACCATAAAGTGGCTTCATCCATCAGGACGTTCCATCATATTTATAAAAAATAGCAAGATGTTATGTTAAATAGTTATTTAAAGATAATGGAAACAAAGTATAACTATTAGAAGAAACCATAATCTCATATTGAAAGCCTTTAAAAATCTATATACTACTAAAGCTCTCATGCCTCTTTGTCTCTAACCTTTAATTGGATGGAATGAGGCATCATAGGGCAACATTTTTTGAACCAAGGTATCTCAAATAGCATTTAGCAATAGCAATACAACTTAGATTTATATACCACTTCGTAGTGCTTTACAGCCCTCTCTAAGCGGGTTACAGAGTATTGCCCCCAACAATCTGGGTCCACATTTTCCCGACCTCGGAAGGATGGAAGACTGAGTCAACTGTGAGCCGTCCAGATTGAACTCCTGGAGTGAGCAGTAATGCACTCTAACTATTGTGCCACCACAGCTCTGTTACAGAATAAGCTAAGTTACAGAATGTGTCCCAAATCTGAGACCCATGACCCATGACTCCTGTGGGATTTCACAAATTTGTGGCCACTTTAATGCTGCCACATCACCCCCTGGGGGTTCAGTAGATCAGGGTGACCTTATCTCTCTGAAGGCTGGGCAGACTGGCCTCTCTGGTCTCTGGAAATCAGTTAGACCAGTCCCACCCTGACCTTTGAAGGCCAGGTTTTGCCATCAGCCACCAGAGAGCAGTGAGCAATGATCTAGCTAGCAGGAAATCATACCCATTCCCACTATTATTTTGTTTATGGTTATTTTGTTTCTCTGTTTAAGTAAATAAATATGTCCCAATGGGTCACAGTTGGCAAGGAAGACTACATATAATTTTCACACACTCTCTTCTGCCTTCTACTTAGTCAACTTCAAATAAATGAAGTCCTTTAGAGCAACAACGCCACCTGATATAGTCTTTAGCTTTCTTTTTGGGTGTACAGTAATGTTGTCTAATGTGCCTACAGCATAGAATCTTCATGCAAATCAGTATTACTTGAACTTATCTTCTTCCTTTCTTCAACCAGATGGCTGCCCTGATTTGTGCAATGGCAATGGGAGATGCACACTCGGTCAGAACAGCTGGCAGTGTGTCTGCCAGACCGGCTGGAGAGGGCCTGGATGCAATGTTGCTATGGAAACCTCCTGTGCTGATAACAAGGATAATGAGGGAGGTGAGCAAAAGTCTTCCAATTCCCAGCCTTGAAAGAACAGAGGGTTGTGTGTAGTTTCATCATGAGTCATTTTATGACAGAAAGACCCCCTCTCCTATTATTGTCAAGAGTTGTTGTTACATTTCCATTGAAGCAAATGAGATGGATAAAGTAGTGCTCTTGTGAGCAAAATAATGTGACCTGAAAGACTTATTTTAAATATAGGGCTTGATTCATTTCTGGCAAAGCTCAGATTTGGAGGCTAGAATTCTCACAACGCATTTGTGTGGTTTAGAATTTCAAGTCTCAATGCTCCTTCAGATATACCCTCTGTGTGACTTACACTTGCAAAAATACCAGCATACATTGTAGGTTATTCAAGCAAAGGCACAGATGACTAAGCAGGAAACTTTCCAAGGTATTGTTAACTGTCAGCTATGGGCAAATACAAGAGAATTCTGGACAAAGGTAATACTTGTATTTTATCAACTTCAATTCACAAAGCAGAAAGTGCTAAATGGAACAGAATAGTGGAATTCATTTTACTGGCTATGATACAAGAGTTTACTCTTCAGTTTTTTTTTAAATAACATGTTCATTAGTAAAGCAAAGTTCTGTCTCAGTATTGATATATATTGGCCTGAAGACCATATATGCTGGAAGAAATTTAGCCAGTAATAAGTTGAAAATGGTTTTAATATAAAGTATAACTCTGACTTCAAATGCTATAGCTATTTGTTTTAACACATTCACCAGTCACATATTTTGATGTATTACATTGTTTTGAATCTATATGTGTGTCTCTCTGTGTGTGTTTTCTTCCACATGTGTTTTTATCCATCATGCAAAATCAGTTCCCAAGAATTTAGCTTCAGATATATTGAATAATATTTGAAGAACTCATTTTTATTAATAGTTTAACATTCAACCAAGAACTTTTCCCAACATTTAAAGCTAATTGTCACAAGTTATTTACCTGAGTGTTTCTTGCATTCTTTGGCCTGTTGACCTTAGGGACCTATTCATATGAGGGTTCAGCATTAGAGTGAAAATAGAACCAGATGACTGGATTGTCATGGTGTCAATAGCACTGGAAAACTAAAGTGCCTTTTTTTCCTAATCAGTTGTAATATAGTTGAACTTTCTGCAAACTATTGTGGGGTAAAGTGGAGGTGGATTGTTTTGTTTTTGAGATTCATTGAGAAGTATACAAAGGTAAATAATATTTTGGTATGTTGTTTTACAGAAAGCTAAATAACCTGAATTATAAAATTCTTTGCAAAACATGGAGTTGCTACAGTAAGTGCAGTACAAACAGTAGAGGATAGAAGTAAACAGAACATCTAATAAATTTTGAAAAAATTAAGTAAAAATCTTAGCAAGTAGTTCAACAGGGAGCAAGAAATGGGCAGTGTTTTATTGCCTGCATCCTGTATTTGTGGATAAACGTGCAAAGAATGCTTTTTGTGATGTAAAAGGTGTGTTGGTTGAAGAAAATATAAGTGTATTTCAGTATGCAGATTGTACTAATATATTATATTTTCTATTGAGGATCTGACAAGGTGGCAAAACATAGGCAACCCTAGTTGATCACACACACACCAAAACAAGCAAGAACAGATGTTATTACTTTTGCATGGGAAATTCCACAGCTGTATAGTAAACAGGAAAGCTTAAAAATATGAAGTTGCCAAGGTTTGTTGCTTAAATGAAAGGAAACTTTGTTTTTTAATAAATCTTTTATTTATTATCTATTACTATCAAAATGAATTTAATTGTGGAGAAAAGTTTATTATGAGTATGCAAGATTTATTATGATGGGGGGGAGAGATAGTGAGTATTCCTGGGAGGAATAAGCAAAGAACATCAAGAGTGTAAGTAAGCCAAAACTATATACTCCCAGGCATGAAAGTCATTTGAAATCCCCGGAAAAAGCAACTAGTACCTATATCAGACAGCAGCAAATTAGAAAAATGCTGGAGGCAGACAATCACTTTAATGATAATGGTAAAGTATCATTTCATATTGTGCAAGGAAATAAAATTATAAATAACTCCTATATTTAACCAAGGAAATAGAATGGATAGATAATATCAAGTAATGAAAGCATCCTGAAGAAAGTCTATGTGGTTGCTAAAAGTTGACACAGAGTTGATGGTTTTTTATGGATATCATTATTGATGATGGTAGAAATTGTCTGAAACATCTGGAGGGCAAGATTGATTTTATTCACAAATATTGTGAGATAAAGTTCATTTGTATAGTAGGAATCCATTCAGTTCCTTGATTTTTTTTTAATATTGTGGATATATCCTAAAAATAGGTGCAGTGCCTTCTAAGCAAACGACAGAGATATGAT